TTTTTTTGAGACAGGTTATCTTTAAGTCACTTACAGCCTTGCTAAGTTGCGATCCTTCTGTCTCAGCCTCCAGAGTCACTGGGGTTACAGGCATGTGCTGTGGCACACAGCAGGATTTTTTTCTTTTACTTTCTCTTTCCTTCCTTTCTTTCTTTCTTTTTTTAAAATTTGAGACAGTATCTCACTAAATTGCTTAGGGCCTTGCTTTGAACTTGCAATCTTCCTGCCTCAGCCTCCTGAATCACTAGGATTATAGGCATGCACCACCATGCTCGGCTAGGATATTATTTTTTTAATCAATTTACTTATTTAGTTTTTAACCTCTTTCCTTATTATTTTATTGAGATATACTTTGCATTCTTATATCCATTTAAAGTATACAATTCAATTATTTCTAGTATATTCACAGAAATGTATAACTATCACTACAGTCAATTTTGAAAGATTGTCATCACCTCCAAAAGATACCTCATAGCTATTAGCAGTCATTCCTCATTTTCTCCCAAACTTCCTTTGTCTGGCCTTAAGCAACCACTCATTTACTTTCTGTCTCTATAGATTACCTATTCTGGAGAGTTCACAAAGGTGGAATCATATAACACGTATTCTGACTGGCTTCTTTCACTTAGCACAGTGTGTTCAGGGCTTATCCATGTTATAGCACACGCATCCATATTTCATTCCTTTTACTGCTGAATAATATTCTGTCATGGAATTTTTTTATCTATGTCATTAGTGGATGATTTGTCTCCACTTTTGAACTGTTAGAGATAATGCTGCTATAAACATTTGTGAGCAAGTTTTTATGTGGACATACATTTTCATTTCTATTGGATATATACCCAGGAGTAAAACTGCTGGACATATTATGCTCCATGTTTAGACCTGAGAACTGCCAGACATGAGAAAGAATCCCTATTCAATTTCATTGCCAAAAGCCACAGCAAGCAAGCACGTGTGATCATTGCCTCTGTCTGATAGGAGCACAATGAAGCTACGATCTGTAGAAGAGAGAGAGGTCAAATGTGTGATTACATGTTGAACTTGCTCTCATTCTTATAGCAGTATTAGAGTTTAAGAGCTCAGGCTCTCAAATCAGACCATCTAGGTTCAAACATCTCTGTTTGGAGGCCCAAATCTACATGATATCATATATAGTACATGAAATATACCCATATCTCACAATGAATAGTTTTTGTGACTCTAAGGTTTGACACATTCTATAAAAGTACATTTTAGATGTTTACTCTGATATGTATTAATTACCATTTTGATGTTTAAAGTTTTTTTTTTCCACACATAGGAGTCTCATTCATTTTTCATGCATTTTTATAGACTCTAGATTTGTATTGTCTGGTATGGTCACCACTACCCACAGATAGCTATTAAATTTTTGAAATGTGGCTAGTGTGATCAAGGAACTGAATATTTAATTTTAAGTAATTCAAATTTGAGGAATGACAATTTAATTATGGAAAAAATTTTAAGTATGTTTGAAACAACTTGGACATGAAAAGTTTACTTTTCAACTGTAAATTTTGTGAGAGCTAAGTTTTTTGTGTGTGATGAAAATAGATTCCAAGTGTAAAATACACATTGGATTTTGAAGGTATTATATGGGGGAAAATGAATAAAGCATCTATAATTTTTGTATTAATTATATGTTAATAGTATTTGAAGTATATTTGGGTAAATTTAAATATATTGCTAAAATTAATTCATTCACTTTGCTTGTTTTTCCTTTTTTTCACATGGCTACCAGAAAACTTACATTTTTATCTAAGGCTTGCCTTAGATTTCATTTGGGCAGCTGTGTCCTAGAAGTTGTTATGACGTGCCTATTAAAGAGAGTAGCCCCAATTTGAAACTTACCTCACAGCCAGGTGACTTTTACCAAGTTAAATATTATCAAAGCAAGATGCAGTCTCCTTATCTACATGTGAAAAGTTGATAATGATCACACCTACCTCACACGTTTGTTGAGAGGGTTGAAGGAGATGTATGAGAAAACAAGTTAGATTATTCTACAATATACAGTTGTGCTTGTGTTATTATTATACCATTGTTGTTACCACTACAATTCCTGTCAATTTCTCATATATTTTTTAATCTGGAAGGATTTTTTTATCTATATTACATTAAGTCAATATTTTAACTTAGGGCTTTTATTTTTCAATATTTAATCTTTTCAACCAGGAACCCAGCACAACTTTTGCCCAATTACTTCTATCTTCCTTTATTGCTTCAAGGAAAGTTGTATTATTCTCCTTAATTGATTTCTCTTACCCTGCATTAAATTAATATACACCACTAATTTTATGACTTAGATCCTTTCATGGCATTTTCTAGCTGTTGAGTATCAACTCATTAAGAATGCCTGGCACTTGATGTACATTCAGCTAATCTGTTTTTAATGAGTTGTTGGATGCTTTTGCTTTGGCTTTGTTTTGTGTAGTGCTGGGGATTGAACCCAGGGCTGGCCACATGCTAGGCAAGAGCTCTACCACTGAGCTAACCCTTACCCCCTGCCCCTGTTGAATGCTTTTTTAGGCTGAGTTTTTTATCCTGCAACTCTACTTATTTTGTAGCACTAGAAAGTTTCTTTGTTCATCATTTTCTAGGTATATGTCATCATCTGCTTTAAAAAAAAAAAGGTACTTCTCCATTTTTATGCTTATTATTCTTCTTACCATTTTTCTTTCCCTGATTAATAGTATAAGCATTTTTCCCGTCATGTTAAATAAGTCTATTGTCTAGGGTATCTTTATCCTGTGGCTTTTTTTTTTTCTTTTCTTTTCTTTTTGTACTGGGGATTGAACCCAGTGGTACTTTACCACTGAGCCACATCCCCTGTCCTTTTTTTTTTGAGCAGGGTCTCACTAAATTGTTGGAACTGGACTTAAACATGGGGATCCACCTGCATCAGCCTCCTAAACCTCTGGGATTACAGGCAAATGCCACCATATCAAACTCCTATGGCTTTTTTAAAAAGAAGGCAAATGTTGCCAGACACTGTGACTCACACCTATAATCCTAGTGGGTCAGGAGGCTGAGGCAGGAGGATTATGAGTTCAAAGCCAGCCTCGGCAACTTAGCAAGACCCTAAGCAACTCAGTGATACACTGTCTCTAAATAAAACATAAAAAAGGTTGGGGATATGGCTCAGTGGTTAAGCACCCCTGGGTTTAATCCCCAGTACCAAAAAAAAAAAAAAAAAAAAAAGAGAGAGAGAGAGAAGAAGGAGAGGAGACGGAGGTAAATGTTGACTTCTGATTTTTAGTATACAGTATGATAATTAGAAAGGCCCTTTTATGCCCTTTTCCTCTCCACAAGAGACAGGGTCTCTATGTTGCCCAGTCTTGGCCTCCAATTCTTGGAGTCAAATAATCTTCCAGTCTAAGCCTCTGAGTAACTGGGACTATAGGCACACACCACTGTGCTTAACAGCTGTTTTATAGCTTTAAAGTTTTTGTTTTTAAACCAGGAAGAGCTATGGGCTTTACTCAGTAGAAATTTTCTGTTTTCTGTGACTTCCCTTGTAGTAGGTCTCTGCTGGCCCTTCTCAGTATTACCCATTTGCTTGCCAGGAAGAAATCCTCTCTCTGCTTATCTCACTGTATAGCTTACGTCACCTATTTGGACAGAGCCTCAATCTACTTCCCATCTGAGGGGCTCCTCGGTGGCTGACATGTGGAGCATAGGAGGCTTTGCACTTGTACTTGTCATGTGCATTTTGACCCCATGAAACCGTTTTTCATGTTTCCTGATTCTTGTTGAAATTCGAGATCATTATAAATGACAGAGGTGATTTTCCAATAAGTGAGGTCCTGTTACATTAGGCCCAGTTCCTGACAGTGTTTAGTAAATGGATGAGAATAAATGATAGACCTTAACTGCAGAACCCCAGGAAGCTGTTACTTCTCCACGTTTCTGTTGTTTATAATGACAGTAAACACCTCATCTCATCGTCATTTGACCTTCCTCAGAAAGAACCACTGTTTTTAGAAGGAAAAAAATCATTTGCCACAGACAAATGAAAAATAGCTTGTGACTCACTTTGTCAGTTTAAGAGAAAATACAATTTTCGAGTTACCCTGCATTTAGATATAGACACAATATATATGTTTATAAAAATTACTATAGAGAGTCCTTGCTATTTGGAATTTATATTGGAATCCTCACAGTTACATAGTTTAAAGGGAAGTAAAAGTTATCATAGATACACACACACACACACACACACACACACATATATATAAAGTTTTTTTTAAATCCCCAAAGAAACAATCCATCTGTAAAATTAGACATCATCAAATAGTCAAACTAAATAACTCCTTGTTCCTGTTCACTATTCATGTTTTTCTTCTCCTGTTCTTCTGCTCAAGCAGTATCTCCTGCTTGGAATACTTCTCTGTTCATTTATCCATTCATCTATCCATTCATTGAGTCTGCAGCATATTCAATGAGTTCCAGGATCTGGGCTGTGTAGATATACCCTAGACACCTTTCAAGATGTGGCTCAAATTCTACCTTTTCCAGGTAACAAATGCTCCCCTGATTTCTTATCCCCTGCCCTGCAAAGTGGAAACCATTCTCCACCTTCTCTGAGTGCCCACAGCACCTCACAACCTCTCTTTTAAAGCACAGTGCTAAAGCTGGATGCAGTGGTACACACCTGTAATCCCAGCAACTTGGGGGGTTTGAGGCCAGCTTTAGCAACTTAGTGAGAGTCTGTCTCATAACAAAAAGGGCTGGGAATGTGGCTTAGTGGTAGAGCATTCCTGGGTTCAATCTCCAGTACCAAACAAAAACAAAAACCCACAGGGTGAAGTTCTGCATGGTTTTGTAATTAGTGGTGTTTGTGCCTTATCCCTCTCAAGAGGAGAACTGATGTCTGCTCAGCTCTGCATCTTTCTCTGTCATTACTGGGGTTGACCCAGTTTGTGGCCACCAACTAGAATCCTCCCTTTCGCTGTTTTCACACAGTCCGTCTCTTCCAGGGCTAAAATCGCTGCAGCTGATGTGCCTCCTGGGAACCCACCACAGGCCCTCACCCCTGTGAGGCACACAGTAAAGATAGAAAAAGATGCCCTCCTCCAGGACTATGGATTTCAGATTTCTGAGACCCTGCCTCTCACAGTGGTGGCTGTCACAGCAGGTAAGGATTGACTGGAAAATGTGAAAGGAATTTGGCTTCTTGTGGGAAAGTAGCCCTGGTTCTCCTCCCATCGATCTATCCTATGACAAAAGGCATAAAAACCTACTCCAAGAAGTTAGAAAATTCTGACCTCATTCTGTCTTGGGCTTTGCACCTTTCTTTGATTCTAGGAGGAAAGGAGCCCCTAGAGCACTTGTTGCTCTGAGCCCCAGGTCCCCAAAAGCGTCTGTCCTCCCCCAGCTACCTGGCCAATCTCAGGGGCAATGAAAGTGTTTAGATAAGCTGCCCTCGTCTTTGAACCCTGCTGTGCTTCTAGCTGGCAACAGTTTCTGAGCAGACAATAATAGAAACTATTGATTTGTTTTCACTTGAGTCTTTGTGAAATATAGGCTGTGCCTGGGGTGGAGAATAGCAGGCTGGGAAAACCAAGTGTTTGTTTTCATATATGAGCTATGTAGTGATGTTAAATCTGGGACTAGTTAAAATATATTAATTTCAATTTGTATACACACATGCACAGACACACAACAGAGTCCTTCAGAGAAGAATATAACAGATTCACTAACCAGCTCTATTGCTTTGGGAAGATTTCTTTCTCAGGATAGTATCTTAACACCCCTTGAAGTTGATGGATGATATATACATTATACATGGTTTATAAAGTGGAACACTAAGTTCCATATGAACCAGTGTCCAAGAGACTCAGGCTGCCATTCAGCTGTGACTCTGTGACACATAGGGTCTGGGCACTCCTGGTCTGAGCACCAATTACTTATTTTCTGTCCAACAGGAGGCTCCGCTCATGGCAAGCTTTTCCCCGGTGATCAGATCCTCCAAATGAACAATGAGACCACTGAAGACCTCTCCTGTGAACGAGCAGTCGACATTCTAAGGTACCAGATTGTTTCCCATCATCCAGAGCTGTATAGATGATCACAGAGCAAGATGAGCAACAGGAATGGTATAGTTGATCTTGTGATTTTAGGAAGGTCCAGTCTCCTTTAAAAAGTAAGAGCAACACCGTCTTTAGAGTTCTAACTATGTCTGGTGAGGTGGCTTCTTGGTAGGGGCTGGTACTATCTGCTCTCACCTGCCTACAGAAGAACTTAGCCATCACAGGTGCTTATTTGTCAAACACCTCCTCTGCCCAAAACACTGCTAGGCATAGCGGGAGATATAGTAATGAATATCCCGTAGGTCCTACCTTCTAAGAATTGATGAACTTGTTGTACTTATGCCAGAGACTGAGCTAAAGTGATACCAAATCTGTTTGTTCTTCTTAATCCTTTTGATATCTCTTAAATGTTCCTGCAGGTTCAGTCTGGTTGGCATATAATCTCACTGATGTAACCTGCAACTGTCTCCTTGGTGTCATTTGAGTTAAATGCCTCCTTGGTGATTTGAGTAAATGCCTCACTCTCTACCTATGCCATGATCACTGAGACCAGGGCAGGCACACAGTGGGTGCTCAGCTGAAACAGGAAATATGGTTAGCACTTGGAACTGGTGACCCTGATTAAAGGAGGAATGTCAGCAACAGGAGGGAAGGGACTACCAGACATTCCCTAGGCATGTGCAGGTTCTGGCTTTTAAGTTTCCTACTCAACACTGTTTTAATGACTTTAATATACAGAGAGATGAGAAGTAGAATTAGGTGAAAGTTAACTTGTGGTTTTTGTAAATTGACTGATATGCTTTGGGACTAGAATTCATTTCTGAGGGCATATCATCTTAGCCCATACAAAGCAATAGGCAACTACAATTGCAAGGCAGAGAAGAGAAAATGAAGGATGCAGTCTCCACCCTTGGGAAGCATGGACACACACACACACACACACACAGAGAGAATTTAAGATTTTCAGAGCCAGGTGCAGTGGCACACATCTGTCACCTCAGCAGCTCAGGAACTAGAAGCAGGAGGATTGCCAGTTCAAAGCCAGCCTCAGCAACTTAGCAAGGCCCTAAAGCAACTCAGTGAGACCCTGCCTCTAAATAAAATATAAAAAATGGCTGGGAATGTGACACAGTGGTAAAGTACCTCTGGGTTTAATCCTTGGTGCCAATAAAAGATTGACAGAAAGTCTGTCAAATCATAGAAATCAGAATCCCTTCTACCAAGCCCAGTATTGTTTCAGAAATGCCAGAGACAAAGTTGAGTAGATGGATTATCAGGAAAAGATTGGATATTCTCATTTAAAAATAAAGAAATACTGGGGCTGGGGTTGTGGCTCAGTGGTAGAGCACTTGCCTAGCAAGTGTGAGGCACTGGGTTGGATCTTCAGTACCACATACAAATAAGTAAATAAAATAAAGATATTGTGTCCATCTACAACTAAAAATATTTCTAAAAAATAAAGAAATACTGGTATGGAATCATGAAGTTTGCTTTCCCAGTTATTGGGCAATTTCCAAAATATGATCACTTTCAGAAAATGCACTTTTAGGTTTTCAGTGTTACTAATATTTCTGTCAGACTAGCTCAAACTCTGATGAATCAATAAATGTATTGATAACATTTAAGCAATAAACTAGAATTTGGGATGTTTAGGTAATGATTTACCCCCTGTCTGTTCACTGAGCACAGATGCTGGGCAAGAAATCCTGTGGGGCAAGGCGGCTCCACAGCTCAGTCACTTACAGGCTGGTTGTGCACACCCCTCTGAGACTGAGGGCAGGTACTCGAGAAAAGCAGAGAAAATGGACTATAAATACTGGAGATTCCTCCAGCTTCAAAGGAAGTTGTAGTTTGACAAAGCAGAGAAGGTTCTAGAAGTGTTTAACTGAACCTTTAACGCTCCGTTGAGTTTGGCCCCCAAAGATGTAGATGTAACTAGGCAAAGTGATGAGTAGAAACAGCAGGGTGGGTAGCAGGGGACGCTAAACAGTTCAGTTTGCCTCCAGAAATGTTCTAGAAAGTGAAACCTAGATGATGGAGGGTCCTGGATGCCAACACAGCAAGTTCCAGTGTTCTACTCTTGGAGTGGGGTGAGGCATGCCACCTCAGGCTTTTGAGCAGGCCATGACACTAGGTGTGCTGTGCACATGTGGCCCGTCCATATTTTGCATGTGAAAATCCCAGGACCTCTTATCTTTTAATGTTAATTTCCAGTGTCTAAAAGCAGTTATAAAGGGGGGAAAAAACAAAGCAAAACAAAATAACACACCAGGAATGGCAATAAAACCTTTCTAATTCCTTCAAATATTTGTGAGGCCAAAATGTCCTTTCGAGAGCTTACTGAGACCTAGGTTTATTGTGATTTTTCTCAGAAGAGGCCTGTTATCACATAAAATGGAGAGGAGTCCCCAGACACTAAGAAAACTCAGGTTGAGTTATTCATTGGAGGAAATAACACACCTGCTGGCATTGGCTTAAATGTTCATATTGTAAGAAGTCAGATGAAATTATTTTGCAAATTGCTTCTCTGTATTGCAATGGCAAAGAGAAAGGATAAAATGAATCAATTCTGTGATCCCATTTACTAGTAGAAAGTGGAGGTTTGTCAAGTATCTGATTGATTTAATCACTTTTGAAATCTAAAATAAGACTAAAATGTTTAGTATCTTGATTATGTTTGTGCTCATTACTAACTTTGTGTACCCAAACATAACAAACTGGTTGGCTTTTATCTGATAAATCTTAACATCAGACATTCATTCTACTTAGTGAAATGTTTACTCTAAGTTTTCTGAAATAGCAACTTATCTGTGTCAGTGCCACATTTTCTTTAAAACTTTTTTGGACATAAGACTAGCTAGTATCAACTGGATGTGTTGTCCATCACATAAGACTAAATCAGGAACCCTAATTTGGTGACTGGGTGTAGACTACATGGTGAAGGTGTATCTAAAAATTCCCTTGAGGTAGAAGAAGCACTTGGGGCCAGCTTAGCTCCTTTTCAGGTGGCTGCTTTCCTCACTGCCCTCCTCAGTTTTGCTGAGCAAAGAAATCGATGTAGAAGAGGCTGCTTTATAGTTATGCCATCAGTTTTTTTTTTCTCACACACGTGCATGCGTACACACACATATCATACAGAATGACTGAATGTTTTTGTTTTTATTCTTTCTTTTTTTCTTTCAGGGAAGCCGAAGAGTCTCTTTCAATCACAGTTGTTCGCTGCATATCGGTAAATCTCTCTCTGTCCTGTGTATTAGTCTCAGTCTTCTTGGCCTGGAGCCCCTGGAAGAGATCTCTCATAAAATCAGCAGGAAAGTCAAAAGGCAGAAGGCAACAGCTGCTGGGCAGTGGGTGGCTTGAAGACCCCCTGCTTGTAGGTGCTTTGGAGGAACATGGTTTGGGCCTCAAGGACTTATGGCCCAGTGAAGGAGACAGACCTGTGCTTCTGCAGAGGGGACCACAGGAAGGGCACCAAACTAAGAGTCGAGAGATGGGTTTTGAGTGGTATGACCTGGGGCAAGTTATTAGTTTTTGTTTTCACTTTTTTAAATTAGTGTTTATGACAATGATTGTCTTGTCTGTCTAATGGATTGTTTTGAGGACCAAATGAACTGTTGAATGTGACAGTGTTTTACTGACTCTGAGGCTCACAAGACAAGGTGTGGCAGATCTGAGCACAGGAATGAACTGGCAATCCTGAACCACCACAGGCCAAGAGGCACTTTTTATTATTATTCAAGGGAGAGTTTATGATCAAATTATAAGGGCAACAACTACCAAGGAGGAAAGTTGATAGAAAATTCTCATTGTGAGTGACTAATACACTAATACAGATACACCCCCCCAAAAAAGGTGGAAAGGACATAGATAAATTTAATAATCTAACCTAATTGACCACACACCAGGCTACCAAGAAAATGCAATAAGTTCCCCAAATGAAAAACTGTATAGGTTCCTTTTCCTGAATATAATTTAAAATAGAAACCGATAATTGCCAAAACTTTAATTAAAAGCATCTAACCCTTTGGAATTTGCAGTTTCCTAAATAAAGATGGCGTCAAGTAGAAAAGCAAAGCTATTGTTATAGTTTAGAAAATAATTATAAATTAGAACCCTATGGGGTTTTTTTGGAAGTACTGGGGATTGAACCCAGAATTACTCTACCACTGAACTATATCCCTAGTCCTTTTTATTTTATTTATTTTTTAATCTTGAAACGGGGCCTCACTAAGTTGCCCAGGTTGGCCTCAATCTTAACAGTCCTCCTGCCTCAGTATCTCAAGCAGCTGAAATTACAGGCATGCATCCACTGCTCCCAGGCATGCACCTATTTCTTAAAACTTAAGCACAGTTGAAGCAATTCTCAGGGTAAAATTCATAGCCTTTATTGTTTTTAATTAGTTAAAAAGAAATAGACCAATTAAATAATCAGCACCAGAAGTAGGTAGATAAGACTAATAAAACTAATATGACTAAAGAAAATAATCTAAATCTAAATAATGATTTAGAAAACAGAAAAGTTGTAAAGTTATAAATTCAAGAACTAGTTCTTTAAGGGGGAAAATATAAAAATAGGAAAACCTTAGGGAAAATAAATATGTGGGCCCTTTGTGAAGAAAACTAAAATTTCCCTGAAGGGGGCAAAAGGGTTGGGGAGCTCAGTGGTAGAGCTCGTGCTCAGCATAGGTGAGGCCCTGGGGTTTTGATCCCCAGCACCACAGAAAGGCAGGAAGGGAGAAAGGATGAAAGGAAGGAAGATTATTAATGAATGTAAAAAATCAGTTCTTGAATATGAAAAGAGATCCATACCAAGCTCCTTGATGGGGAGATGAAGTATTCTCATTTTATCTTAGTGCATCAGTTATTCTTATATTAATGTATATGCTGATGCAAATTCAAAAAAACTCTCATGGAACTTTTATTTGTGTATTAACAAAATATACCAAAGTGAGACTTATCAAGAAGATATTTTTAAACAAGAACAATGAGGATGACTTTGATGTACAGATTTTAAAACTAATAAAGCCACAATCATTAAAACAGTAAGATATTGTAAAATATTGAACATATGGATGTAATCAAATAGAAAGGCCAAGAATAGATACTTGTAGCCAGGTGTGGTGGTGCATGCCTGTAATTCTAGTGACTCAGGAGGCTAAAGCAGGAAGATCACAAGTTCAAAGTCAGCTTCAGCAACTTAGCAAGGACCTAAGTAGCTTAGCCGAGACTCTGTCTCAGAATAAAACATAAAAAGGGCTGGGGATGTGGCTCATTTGTAAAGCCCCTCTTGATTAAATCCCCAGTACAAAAACAAAACAAAAAAAAAAACAGACACTTGTATGGAATTTAGGTATGTGATAAACATGACATCCCAAACCAGGAGGAGAAAAAACAATTATTCAAGAAGACATACTTGGACATTTGGAAAATATACAGTCTGGACTTACACGGTTTTACAGAATTTAAATATAAAAAACAAACCATAGAAATGTAAACAACATGGATGGATATGTATAAGGTCACAGGTTTTAGAAAGATTTCCTAAGTACCTAGGCAATAGGAACAGTACAGTGGGACAAATGGCTATTTCATTATGTGAAAATATAAAGTTCCTGTAGTCTAAACACTTCACAAGCAAAGAAATGATCTCCCCTCCTTACTCGACAAGTGTTATTTTTTGGAAATAGAGTAGGAAAATATCCACCTAATTAGGATTAAGATGTTTGCCAGGTATATGACAAACCAAGTGTTTTATGCACAATAAGTGGAGATTTTTCTATTCTAAACCTATGAAATAATGTGAAACCAATAAAGCACAGGGAAGGCTAATCAGTATAAATGGTGGTGCAGGTGTTAAGACATTCTTTTTATTTAGCTGATTATCATCTCAATGGGAAACTTCTTAATCTTAATTAGGTGGGAATTTTTTTCCTTACTCCAGTTCCAAGAAATGAGCAAAATAAAACACTTACGTCAATAGGGTGGGAAACATCATATAGCAGCATCCTTTAAAAAATGAAAAGTAGGGGGCTGGGGTTGTAGCTCAGTGCTAGAGCACTTGCCTAGCATGTATGAAGCACTGGGTTCGATTCTTAGCACCACATATAAATAAATAAATAAATAAATATCCACCAAAAACTAAAAAAAAATTTAAAAAATGAAAAGTGGAAAAGAAAGGAAAATTGCTGTATTTCTCTTCCACTCTTAGAATCCCACGGGATTTCCAGGAAAGGAGTAATATGAATCCTGTTTCTCTGGAGGTCCTAAAGGGAAAGCAGGTATCAGCCCGGTTTATGGCTGTCAGTGCCTCTGAGAAATTCCCTGAACATTGGCTGTCCCCCACCCACACTGGGCCTCTCACCAGAAATGTCCTGGAGCATTTTGCAAGCATTGCAAACAGTCATACGTGTCTTGCTTCAGCAAGGAGACTTAGATTCTTGGAATCCTCAGATGACTTGAAATCAATTAGAAATGATAAAATCCAAAGTTGGAAATTAATTACTGCTTCTCTAGGACATACAATTTTATGGAAAAATATTTTTGGTTTAATTTTAAAGATCTGTATTTGTTGATATTAATTTATACTATATTAATTATTTATAACAAAATTAATACTGATAGTGAATGTCTCCAAAAGGAAAACTTCCAAGGCAGGTACACTCATTATCCCCCTTTTATGGATGAGGACATGGGGCCTCGCACGCCCATTGTCTCATATCCAGGGTTGGGTTGTTTTCCAGGTAGTAGATTGCAGAACACACACTTGATAACATTATGCTGTTGTATGCCTTAACCCCTGCTGTTTTCATAAAATCACATTGCGTAACTCAGGGCAGGGGGTGGGTATTCGAAAAAGATGTAAAAATGTTTTCCAACTTGTCCATGTTAATGCTCTTTTAAGCATTAACTCTTACCTCAGCAAAAACACAGAGATGTTATCAGCATGTGTCTGCTGAATTCTCTCTGATGAATTAGGTCAGAGCCCTGGGAGAGCTTAAAAGTACTAGAATCAAGGGTAGCTCATATTCTTCCAGTTGTCTTTTTAAAACACCAGCTAACCCAAGTGCACTTAAGTGGGTGTTTTACAGTATGTTCTAGATGCCAAGGTACATGGTACTGATATTCAGATGTAGGAACCACTGTGGGTCTTGTGGGTTGGACATTTCCATGAAAGAGAGCTCTTTCTTTCTCAAAGCAGCCAGTTTCAGAGTTGGGTAGCTCCAAATGTAAGAGAAGCCCTTTTTCCCTGTGACTCCCACCAATTAGTCCTAGTTAAAAACAACTCTACCTGGTATGAAATAGCTCCCCACAGATCTGGAACTGTGGCCTTCTCTTCTTTAATCTAAACAACTGTTCCATCAACTCTTCTCATAGATGTGTTTTTCTGAACTCTCACTTCCATGGTAGCTTTCTGAATGGATTCCAGTTTCATGGTGATTCTCCCAAATAGTGGCACCCCCAAAGGATTACTTCCACCAGCAACCAAAAAGGACCATGGGAAATGGAGGGTGCCCTTCTGAGATGCACCAAGAATGCTAGTGAAGTCTGAGATTGGATTAACATTTTGGCAAGCCCAATCACACTGTTGGCTTGGGTGAAACTTGTGGTCAACTAAATACTGAGCTAGTTTTCAAATGGATAGCTTTCAAGCCAAGCACCCCCAATCCCATGCTTGTGCAATTAATATTTTTGATCCTCAGTGCCACACTTCACTTTAATCCCTGTCAGGTCATGTCGCTTTGGCCCGATGTTCTGGCATGCTGACATTTTATAGTCAGAGAATTGTGGGACTGAAAGGTTTATTTATACAGTTGCCAGCTGCAGTCATCTCCCTTTCTGTCAGGAAACCTCCTCTTCCAAGACTCCCCCAGCTGCTGGCCAGTTAATTTTCTTTAGCATGATCTAGCTCTGGATCTAAGTCTTTCAGAATTGTTCTCCCTAAGGTTAGAGACAACAATGGTTGCCGCCTGCAAGTTCCTCCTCTCTCTGCATCTCTCCTCTGTTCTGCCTGTTTTCTCATTCCCTTGAGTCTCTAGGGTGGGGATGGTTATACCAGTCACTTTGACTGCTCACTTTAATCTTGTTCCTTTCAGCTCTTTCTTTACCCTCTTATGTTTGTTCTTGGTGATTTCCTGGATTTTGACCCTTAGCTTCTCAAGTTTTCTGTGCAGCCTTCTTTTAGATTCCCAGTTCCTTGATCTTTCCTCTCAATTTCTGCTGCTTGAAATCTTCTGAACAAAACCTTGCAGTTCTGTGTCATTCACTATAAATTCACTTTCTCTGACATCAACTAAGGCATTGCTATACAGCATTGATAAAGATGGAGCCAAAGGGAGCCTGAGTTTCTCATTTGGAAATCAGGGTGTAGCTCAGTAGTAGAGCACTTGCCTAGCATGTGCAAAACCCTAGGTTCAATGCCCAATATGTCAAGAGTGGGTGAGGAAAGAAAGAAATCAAGACTATTTTGAGTGTAGGTCAACCAGTTTTGAATCTACCTAATGGCTCTGCCTTTGGCCTTCTCCACAGGGGGATTATAGGAGAGATTATCAAATGCTTTACAAGAATGAAGGAATACTTCCATATCCACAAGACCCTGGCTTACCAATCTGGAATCCTATCTTCAAAAGAAAAATGAACTTGGTTGACTTTGACTTATTCTTGGTAACTCCATATTAGTTGTTAGTGATTGCTGCCTAAAAGCTCTCTGATCATCTCTTGTCTTAGATTTCTCCAAGAATTAATGACAAAGTTTACCAGTATGTGTTTTTCTGAATCCTCCATATTCATTGTCTGGGAAACTTGCTATTTGAACATCTTTAGTCTCCTAATATTTCCTCCATTCTTTTCCCATGTGGAATGTCATTTGTGACCTTGTCCATGAGCTCCCTAGATTCACCTGGGAAAGAGTTTTAAACTCATTCAAAGTAGTCAGATACTCTCCTCACTAGCTTATATTGTGATTTTCTTTTTTTACTTATTTCTTCTATCCCTTTTGACCAGTAATTTCTACAGGTGAATGTCTCTTGGAACATTCCTAGTTCCCCTTCTCTTCTACTAAATGTTTGTTGTTGTTATTTTAAAGCAAATTATATATTTGAGGTGCTGAATTGTCACACCAAGATTCTAATTACCAATAAATTTATATATCTTCTTGCATTAAATTTTTAGGGTTATTTTCTTATGTTACATACTTTATGATGTTGGTATGTTGATAAATCTGAATCTGTGAGCATTATCTCCAGCAGTTTTCCTGATTGCTGTTACGTATCTCTTCCCTCAGCTACACAGAACATCACACAGAGCTCCCTATCAGGACTCTTACACATTTAACATCCTAGAGGCTGGCTTAAAGGGCCATTCAGACCAGGGCAACATAGGATGCTAGACTAAGAAATAGTGTATTGGGATTTCATCCAGGAAGATCACATCCTGTTGCTCTAAATCATATAAGATTCTTCTTGTCAAGTGCTACAGTTTATCTTAATACAGTCTAGTCCAAGGGCTTCAACATTTATATATACCAACCAATAATGATCTTTCTTCTCTAGAACAGAGTAAAGAAGGGCCAAAGGTTAAGTCACAGGGGTCAGACCTTCAGGGAATTCTACCTCTCACATTGTACAGATGGGAAGATTGAAGGCCAGAGAGGGGCAAGGACTTGGCCAAAGGCACACAGTTATTTTGTTTTGTTTTACACATGCAGACACCTCTAGTTTTCTTTCATGGGAATTTAGGTTTGAGATAGTTCTTACAACTGTCAAGTTAATAGAACTTGGGTTGGAACCCAGTCCTCCTCCTTCACAAGTCAGTTCTCTGTCTTCATCATATCATAGCCTCTTTGCTGCCATATTGAATTTTCAGCTGTTCAAACACATGAAAGCATTGTCTGTGTTGGGATCCCTAGATTTTAGGAAAAGAGATGTTGAAATGGAATGGTATCTTTTCCTATAAGTTTTAATTAAATCCATAATAGCTGTCAGAGTGTTTTTAAGAAATGAGAAGGTATACATGGCTTTTATGGAAGCACTGTTCTAAAATATGTCATGTTGATGTTTTTTAGGGAGTTCCCAAATCTTCCTTCCTGACTGAGGAGAAGAGGGCCAGGCTGAAGACCAATCCTGTGAAGGTGCATTTTGCTGAGGAAGTGCTTGTCAGTGGACACAGCCAGGTGCGTCACTAGTCAGGGGATTGCAACTACTGATGATGAAGCCAGACAATCCCAGCCACTTGGCAGGGTGAGGCAGGAAGATCACAGTTTCAAGGCCAGCCTGGGCAATTTTGCCATACTTTGTCTCAAATGAAAAGAAAAAGGCGGCTGGGGATGGTATAGTGTGCCTCCCTGAGTTTATTTCCTAGTAACACACACAGAAACTACTTTTGATGAAACTGGTGAGCACTTTCTAGCATAGACTCTCTGAAACCCTGGACTCCCATAGCACAGAGAGGACACAGAGCAGCACTTTTGCTAGAGGCTTCGTGCACCCTCAGTCAGATACCTGCAGGCCCTGAACAACGGATGCCGGTGAGAGTTCTGGGCTATGAGTGGGACTAGGAAAGAAGTCCTGGATGTAGCTCCATGTTATCCTGAGGCTTCTTTCTTCTGCCCATGTAATTTCAATAAATTCCAGTAGTTAATTTCTTATTATGAACCTTCAAGTTAATTATCCCCTCTAGAGTGATTTATTGATAACAGTTATGTACATGGTGGGGATTGCTTTTTTTTAGGAGTCCATTATCTATTAAGCCTGTATTAAGTGACCTAAACTTTTTATGTACATAATCCTAAATCACAATAATACTCTACAATCGAGGTATTTTAATAAAAGAGTAAGCAGAGGCTTAGAGAGATTAAGAGAATTAACTACTAAAATCACATAGTAAGAAAAGACAGGAACCCAGATCTATGTGACTTCATTTCTTCTGTTTTTCATTATGACATACTATCTAGTCCTTATTGAAACATAAAGACCCAGGGTTGGAGATTCAGAAGACCTATTTGTTTTTTTAGTGTGTGTGGTACTGGGGATTAAACCAGGGCCTTATGCATGTGAGGCCAGCATTCTACCAACTGAGCTATATCTGCAGCCAGAAGACCCATTTAGGAAGTGAAAATGTTGGCTAAAGTTTGATGTTTCTGATGTGGATTATTGGATAAAGGCTCATTTATTCATAATTTACATAATAATCTATAACTATTGCCATTCTGAATACAGCAGCCAATATTAGATTTTTTTTTTGGGGGGGAGCAGGTATCAGAGATTGAACCTGGGATGTTTAACCACTAAGCCATCTCCCCAGTTCTTTCAAAATATTTTATTTAGAGTCAGGGTCTTTCTAAGTTGCATAGGGCCTTGCTAAGTTGCTAAGGCTGACTTTGAACTTGCAATCCTCCTGCCTCAGCCTCCTGAGCCACTGGGATTACAGATGCATGCTGTCATGCCCAGGCAAATATTAGATTTTGAAACTTTGAAGTAAAAATTTATTCTTATCTGGTCTTCTTGCTACAGAGACCAGCAAATTGTGGGGCAGGAGTACTGGGTGGGAGGGATTCCTGGCCCTTTTAACAAAGGATCCAGGTGACCTGCTCCACATCTACAAAGCCTTTATTCTCTCTCTGTCCAGCCATTTAAAAGACCTGAGAGAAAGGTCTTTTAGACCTTTCATTAGACCTGAGTGAAAGGTGAATTTTTTCTGGAAGGAGCCGGAGGGTAGCCAAATAAATAATCAGAAAAGACCTATGATGTTGTTGGTCAACAATATTTGAGTCTCTGGGTGTCCATACTTATGAAAGTGGATTGAATCTCTTTAGCAGATTAAGTTTAGGTTTGACATGTGATTTCAAGAGCAGTGCACAGAAATGAGCAGTGGAGGTAACAGAATAGGTAGAGAATAGGGTCACCTCAAGTGTGGACCAGATTGCCAAGACAATAATTTGTTAAAAGGGCTATGACGGCTCCCCCACAACTGGCATTCACTGAGAAGACAGATAAGGACAAGGTCTGAGGCCTGAACTTACTGTCATCCTGGCTCAGAGTTTAGGTGGGGATGGGGAGCTTAGAGGAGCAGGGCTCTAGATGATGTCTCTGGGAAGACTTGCAGGTTTGGGCACCAAGGAGAGTCTTGGGGAGTATGCATCAGCCACAAGAGGCAGATACTGTGAAACACTGAGGCCTCATGGGGCGACCTGTCTATTCATCCTTTCAAATACTTAAAAAGATGATAAAACTGATTGTTAAACTTTTCCCTTTGAAAAATGATAAGGCAGCTTCAGGGACACCCAGTCACACTAGAAGAATTTTAAGTAGTAAACTAGTATCTGGCATATGTTTAACTTTGCTCACAGTTAAAGAAATGCCAAGGAAGATATAAAGTGACACTTGGTGCTTGATGTCACTAAAATGGAAACCTTGATGCTGAGAAAATAACTACAGTCTGCACTAACTGGGGCTTTATAAATTGGCTCCAACATTTTTGGGAGGAAAAAAGCACAAATTAATGACTGCTGTAAAAAGTAGCCCAGGTTCCTATTAATTTAGAATGTAAAATAATTTAAATGCAAAAATCTATTTAAAAATATATTTAAAGATATTTATAGTATTGATATTTTAAATAACTAAGAAATAGAAAAAAATGCTAACTCTTCGGGGAAGAGGCATAATTACATCAATTCTGATATTTCAATTTGATAGAATATTAGAAAGCTATTAAAAGTGTAAATATTAAGCCCACTAAAAATTGTATACAAAAATAAAACAAATGAACATATAATTAGATATATGCTGTTATTGAATCTCTCTAAAAGCAACTTACAAATACAAGTGAAAATTAGAGAATGTAGAAAAAACTAGATGATGATAAGTATGTGATATTGTGGATGTTTTTGTAAACCTGATAAGTCTGAATAATGAAGTACCAAGGAAAAAGTTTCCCCCATGGGAAATCCAAAAATTAGGATTTCTAAGCACCCAAAGCCAGAAAAGTGAGATGACAGCAGAGTGAGCAATTGGGAAACCCTTTGTCCTCATCAGGTGTGAAGTGACACTGGACTATGACCATATTTCTTTTTTGTCTCTACAAAACACTGTGGTTTTAAAAAAATGGTGTAGAGAATAGTAGGATTGTGAGTCTTGCTTAGAAGATACAAGCACTCTTATATTTAGAAGACTCAAGATTCTCATCAGAAAAGACCGCAGGAATTTTGAAAAAAGTAAAGGTGATAAACTTCTTTACCCAGGTGAGCTTTATACCTAAACCCTTTGTAGAGAAGGGCAATTCTATTCAAATCCTGGGCTCTATAATCTTACAGTGGTTCTAGAGGACACCAGCCCTAAGACCCCTTTTCACTTGTAGATGAACACTCAGAAATCACTTTTTATGAGAACTGGTCCTGGGGGAATTCTCCAAAACCCTGCTCTGCCCCACCCCAGAAATCCTGACTGGCATGGGGTCATCAAACCAAGACCAGCCCTGTGTCTTCTTTCCAAAAATCCTGCAGGAGTGGCATAGTTCCTCAAAGATCTCACAAATCTGGGGTGATTGGCTGGGGTGGGTGGAGGTGGAGTGCATCCCTCTGTCCTTTGGCAGTGGTTCATTATGGAGAATATAGCAGTAAAATGACAGGGATCTCAGGCTAAGGAAGCTGTTCACCACCCCCCATTCCATGCCAGACCCTCATTGCAGGGTTCAAGAATCTCAGAAAAGCCCAATATGCAGAGCATGTGTGCTGGTGGTCTCATTTGCCAAATTTGTCCCATAAAGGTGGCAACCAGCAGAGAAATGCCAGCTGTTGGTTATGAGACACTGCAGAGGGCTGTGCAAGGGTCACTGTTTTCCACAGTCCATCAGATCTAACAGTTTCCATGGGTGTCCATTGGCAAAGCATAACTGACCTTTGGTGAAATTCCCTAATGCCAAGAAGCAACCCCTGACATGGTGAGGTTAGAGAAGATCCTACTCTCCAAACCAGGCAGCCAAGGATTTGACACACCCAGGGGCAGGAACATTGTGTCAGAGAGACAACCCTATTCTTATGTTTTCCAGGGAAATTCTCTACTGTGTATGCCCAATGTGCTCAAGCTGTACTTGGAGAATGGACAGACCAAAGCTTTCAAGTTTGAGGCAAACACAACTGTGAAGGTAATAGGAGTAAACTTGAACCTCTTTCTTGGGATAATTGGCTGGCTCTGAGGACCTGTAGCATCTTGCCCTACATCTGCCTTGGTGTTCTCACAGTCACTGTGGTCTGAGCACTTGTGATCAGCCAGGCACTGTGTTATCTCATTTAGTTACACAACCTCAGCAAGTATACATATCACCTCTTACAAGGGAGGAAATTGGGACTCAGAGGTGAAGTGACTTGCCCAAGGTCCTCTAACACTCCTAGGCCTTCACTGGTAATCAGGCTTCTCTGCCTCTTGTCTCCAACTACTATTCAAATACAAGAGCAGCTAAAAACCCAGGCAAGATATGAGAACAGGCCCAGGCCCCTGCATACTCTGTTTTGCCTTGAAGTCAGTTCAACTTATATTTAAAAAGCACCCACTTGAGATGTTCTGGTAAAGGGTGGCATCTGTCTTCAGGAGCCTGAAGTCTAGTTGAGGGAGAGTGAACAGTCTAGATTTCCTCCAGGTATTTAGGACAAGATGAAATAAGGGCTATAAAGAGAGGGAAAAGGCAGAGTACTGTCTGTTCCATGCTGCCAGGATGCTGACCAAAGCTGGGGAAGAAGCTGCACCTGAACTGAGCAGTGAAGGGCAACTAAGATTTCAACAAGTGCAGGCAGGGACAGGCAGTTGTGGGGTGGAGCACATATCAGTCTGAGGGAGTCACGTGAACAAATGCAGAGAGCAGGAAAACAGGCCTTGCCCAGGCAATAGTGAACCATGCAGCAGGACACAGGCTGTTTGCTAAGGGGTCACTGGGGAGTGGGCATGGAGGGCCTCACATGGCCAGGCAGCAGAGTTTGGATTTTATCCAGAGACAATGAAAGATGACTCTAATATGAACAAAGAAGGAAGTGGTGTTAGGGTGAAGCTGTAGTGAAGAAGCAAACAGAGTTTTTCTATCATTAAAAACCATGAAAGAGTAAACATGGAGACCAGCAGGTTTAGGTGAGCTGATGCAGCTATAGATAACTGGCAGTAGCCAAAATATACACTCTCACATGCGCGCGTGCGCGTGCGCGCGCACACACACACACACACACACACACACACACACACAGTAGACACATACCTGAAATGGTGCCATTCAGGCTCAGGGGAGAGAGAACTTCCAGATGGGTAGCAATGAAAGGCTTCCAGAAAACAGTGGCCTCTGTGGCAGACATGGAAAGGTAGATGGGCTTTTTACAGGAAAGGACTAGGAATGGAGTGGAGATAGCCTACCATACAGAATAAGGAGAGAATATTAAAAGCCACAAGAGAAAGGAATCAGATTACATATAGGGGGAAACCAGTTAGATTATGTGCAGATCAGAAAATGAGTTGGCATTTTAGATCTAATTCAAGTATTCATGGAAACCTTAGACAAATGTTTTGAAAATGCCTGTGAACTGGATTTAATTTTCCAAGTAGACAAGGTTCACAATATTATTGCAGAAATAGTGATGGGGGAAATGGTATTGGAGACCAACATGGATGAGATTGTTACACAAATTGATGCACAAAATAAACTGGAGAAACCTAAGGCTGGCTTAGTGGGAGCTCCAGCCTATGTGTTATCAGCTGTAAATAATATGAATCTTCCTGAGATCCTAAGAAATATTAACATTGGTGACATCTGTATAAAAGTGCCAAACCTGCCCTCTTTTAAATAAAATATTAAAAAGCCACTCCCAGGTAAAATCCAGAGGGAAAAGTCATATAAGTTTACCATGCAATTATTTACCAAAAATAGAGGAGGAGAGTCTTAACTTTTGCTCTTGGATTTAAGTCAAGGTTCTGTATATAAATCATGTAAAATCAATATGGAAGTTCAATGTTGCTTTTCTTGCTCAGTGGTTTAAAAGAAATTGAGTAGTTCCAGTGTGATTTTTATTTTCCTTTTTAAAATTGCTTTCTATGCCTACCTAAAGCATATATCTGTGTATTGGCTGTTACAGTATTTCAAAAAGTAAGATATTTCTTTAGTTATGTGCAACCTAAAATGTTGGTGTTTTGTATGGATCACCAGTGCAGCATTCCTTAATTCTTTCTGCTATTTGTCACAATTGTTATTTAAAGAACCAAGTGTGTATTGCATGAAAACATTATGACCTTTTCCTCTTAGTTTAAATAAATTCCAAGGTAACTGGAAAAAAAACATGGCTGTTTTTTTTAAAAAATTAATATTAAATAACAATGAGGGAAATAAACATGGCCCTGGAACAGAGAATAACAGGGACATTTACATTTAGATACAGAGACCAGAGAGGGCCTCTGAAGAGGTGACATTTGAGCTGAAACTTGAAGGGAGAGAAGCAGCCTCTGATTAGTAATGGGAAAAGTGTGCAATGAGAGTGAACAATGTGTGAGTGCCCCAAGGCATTCACAATGATAGAGGGAAAGCCACCATGGCAAATGAAGGGAGTGTGATCTAGCAACTATAAAGACCTCAGCACAGCCATAATTATCATTCCATCCTGCCAGCCACTCTGAGAGGGTAGGCATCATTATCCTCCATTTCACAGAGGAAGAAACTGAGGTTGGATATGTCAGGACAATTTCCCATAGTCATGTGTCAGGTGGGTGGTGGGAATCTGCCTGGAAAGCAGTTGACTATGCAGACTGGAAGCTGCGAGAGAGGGTGAAGCACAGTCACTGAGGAGAGAGACGCCTCCACTGGGTGGCTTCAGCTTTGCAAGTCATTCAAGAGCAAGTGGCCATGTCAGGGTATTGGAGCATGGGGCTGAGGAGAGCAGGGTACAGGGCCACAAGGACCTGACATGCAGGAATTGGAGCCCTGCTGACCTGGCAGTGGGCCCCTCAGAACAGGCTTTTCCTTCCCTGGTTGCATCAAGGAACAATGAATGAGGCTAGGGAAGTCCTCCCTGCTCCTCAGTTGACCCTGTGACTCTCTGTGCCTGCTAGGACATCATCCTCACTGTGAAGGAGAAGCTGTCCATCCGAAGTATTGAGTACTTTGCCCTGGCCCTGGAAGAGCAGTACAACGTCTCACGTCTACACTTGCTGCATGAGGAGGAGCTCATCCAGCAGGTAGGGAGGACAGACTTGCTGCTGGGAGGCCTGGGCTGGCTGCACACCTCAGTCCAGGGAAAGACTCAGCTCTTCTTCAGGCTTGATATACTTTATCCTGCCCCAAGAAGCTCAGAGCTCCTTTGGCTTGAGATCATAGGATGGGAATCAGGCCTGATTTTCATCTGCTCCTCTGAGGTAGGCAGAGCACAGATTTAAGGTCCCCATTTTACCAATGCTGATATAAAGGCTTAGAGAGGTAAATTGATGACCCCTCACTCAAGGTAATACAGCTGAGAGAGCCCCAATCTTTTGCTTCCAGGTTCTTATGAGCTTCCCCTATACCTGCTGCATTGAGCTATTAGGGAGCATCGGTTCCTGTGTCCAAGCCTCTTTTTGTGGGACTTATCCAACAAGTATAGAGACTTGTTCTCAGGATAGAGCAAACACAGCTGGTCCCTGGGTACCACTCAGTTGTTCAGCCAACCAGTAATTTGTTGTACCCACTTTCTAAAGCCAAACAACAAATCCTTGGTCAGTTCAACATATCCTTGCTGAGTGTGTAAGGTGGGAAAGAGTTGAACAATTAGAAATGAGGAGGGGGCCTTTTAAGCAGGGGGGACAGCAAGAGTAAGGTCTAGCCTCAAGGGAATCGCTCTGGATATTCCTCATTGCAGGTGAGTTCTGGCCCCGTCCCTCTCCCATTAGAAAGTTTGCTGCTTGCAACGTCTTTTTCAAATTACTTATATTGCATTTGCAGTGAAAAAGAAAACCAAATTAAATCTCTAAGATAGTTTAAATGGAAAAAATAAGGTGCAGAATGGTGTTTAGACTGTTTATTATTTATGGAAAAGAATTTACCTGTGTCAGTGGGCACATATACATAGACTACCTCTGGAGGCATTTAAGGAATTGGAAAGGGATTTCCTCTAGAAAGGGGATCTGGGAGATGGGTCATTGGGATACATCACTCTTTTGAACCTTTTATTTTTTCTACTCATGGGAAAAAGAGTCAAATCAGGAATGAAGGTCTATGACTGTGTCTTGGGTAGCATTAAAATAGAAACTGGGGTCCATCTTTCATTGTTTTTTTTTTTTCCTTTTTGAAGTTGTTTTATGGAATAGCTATAAGGGTAGCTAGATTAACAGTATCTTCTTTACCCTTGACAGGTGGTAGAAAGGGAGGAGTTACATGACTCCCGCTGCCTCTTCAGGGTGTGTTTTGTCCCAAAGGACCCCCTGGACCTCTTGAAAGAAGACCCTGTGGCCTTTGAGTACCTCTATCTGCAGGTGACTGGGTCTGTGCTTCCTGAAGTAATGGTGGTTGTCCTCAAAGATGGCACATTGGGTTATTCTGAACATGAGCTCCAGGCAATTAAACAACTCTTTAGTAGGGATTCCTTTTTTCTCAAGGAGGAGGGGCCTGATTATCCCTCAGAATTCCCTTTTCTGTTATTGAGTTGCTGTAATAGGAGATTTGCAGTATAATAATGAAATTTAGGCTTAGTCCTGAATGTGGATGATACATTTTCTAAATCCATTTAAAGATTGTTATCATTTCAGTTTTTATTGCTAAATGGGGCTTTAGTGCTTCAAAGCCTCATTTTAGAGACAATGAAACTGAGTCTTGGGAAGGACATATGGTTTTGGGTGCAGGGGTTGGGGGGGTGTGGACCGACTTAGTGGCAGAGCCAAAACTTGGTTCCTTGACTCCTAGCCTGGTCCTCCCCTCTGCTGCCCCTGAGGTGACATTTATTACACCATTCTCATTTGGATGGAAAGAATCTTTTGAGGCATCAGTATTCTACAGAACAAATGGATACAAATGGATCGACTTGCCCGAAGTTTTACAGAAACAGTGGCAGAAAAAACAGCAGGAATAATATTGTCAGTGCGCTCTATTTATATGAAATTATATGTCTCAAACCTGCTTCTATATACTTTATCTTTTTTAATATTTATTTTTAGTTGTAGTTGGGCACAAAACCTTTTATTGATTTTTATGTGGTGCTGAGGATTGAACCCAGGGCCTCACTCCTGCTAGGTGAGCACTCCACCGCTGGGCCACAACCCCAGCCCTATACTTTACCTTTTTTAAAGAAACCATGTAAGGTAGATCTGACTGACTGCATTTAGCAGTGGAAAACACCAATGCTCAGAGAGTCTTAGTAACTTAACTGAGGTCACACAGCCAAGAACTGTCAGAGTCACATCTCAAAACTCAGCTCCTGCTCCTGGGGCCTTTCACTAGAAAGAACTAGGAGATACAATATTCCTGTTCTTGTTTTCCAACTACTCTATCTAATCTCTTCTAGAGCTGCAGTGATGTGCTCCAGGAACGTTTTGCTGTAGAAATGAAATGCAGCTCTGCACTCCGACTCGCAGCCCTGCACATCCAGGAGCGGATCTACGCATGTGCCCAGCCACAGAAGATCTCTTTGAAGTACATTGAGTGAGTGACAGGGGACAGCTGCTGTGCTGCATTTGTGACTCTGCAGGTGGCCGGACTCCATGGGAAGCTGATATTCACCCACCTGCCTGTCTGTCCTTGTCTTTTCATCCATCCTCTGTACCCTTTTCTTGCCCAGCTGTCAGAACCCACCTATTCCCTCTGGGGCGGAAGACAACTCCAAAGGGAATGACAAAGGATTCCCTTGTAAATTTCCAGTTTCTGGAAAGAGGTTCTGGTCAATCAGTGAACAACTTCAGTAAAGCTCTTCCAAAGGCAGAAATGCCCCAGAAATTAATTTTTTTATGGGGTGTAAACCAAATTCTATTGTATTGTACCCCCCTTAGGGCATTTCAAGTCCTAGGATCTAGTAACTCCTGATTCTGAGCTTAGAATCACTCTGAGTAGAATCACCCAGGTTTGCCAAGCCCCTCCCCAAATCTCAGCTGTATCTTGCCTTGGCATCAGAATCATACAGGCAAATCATATTTTTAAAATAGAACAGATCCTTGCTCTTACCCCCTAATATACTAGTCAAAACTCGAGGGTAGAGGAGTCCGAGATGCTTTATTTTTTAACAAGTTTATGAGGAATTTTGAGGCTTCTAGGCTAACACCATTCTGAAGCTTGGCTTTGAGGATTCGTAGGTGCTCTTATTTGCCCCACAACTAATATTTGGGCTGGGAATGTAACTTGGTGGAAGAGCACTTGCCTAGCATGTTTGGGGACCTGGGTTCCAATTCCCTAGCATTGTAAAAAGAAAAAAAAAAGTACTTTATACGTGATCGTGTCACACATGTTGTCATATGTTATAGTGAAAAAGATTGTGAACTTCTGCTCTGATTAATGGAGTATCACACCACACCAAGAGTCATCTGCTGCCAGAATGGTCAATGGAATTTGATTCCTGAATATCTGTGGTGGTTTGTGTGGAGTATGTGTATTGATGTATATCTACTGAGGGGAAGCACACAAGCACGCATGCATACGCACACATGCACGCACACTCCTTCTGCTGGAGAAGCAGGCTTATAATAGCTATATTATGGGAACAATAAGTACTGAATCAAATGTAATTATGCTCTTCGTTAAAGCCAAGTACACTTTCCAAAAGGGCCTGCTTGTCTTCAATGTCTCGTGGCAGGAAAGACTGGGGAATAGAGAACTTTATATCTCCAACTTTACTCCGAAACATGAAAGGCAAAGACATCAAGAAGGCCATTAGTTTCCACATGAAGAGGAACCAGAATTTGCTGGAACCCCGACAGAAGGTAGTGTAGCTGCGGTCTCTGCCCACCCCATCCAGCTGTCTGTTGTGAGCCTCAGGGAAAACATTTTCAACTTACCTAGATTTTAGGCGAGAGTAACTCTGACTTCAACAATCTTTTTTGTTTTTGTTTTTCTATTTAAGCAACTTATTTCTGCTGCTCAGCTACGTTTAAATTATCTACAGATCCTTGGGGAGCTCAAGACATATGGTGGGAGAATCTTTAATGCTACTTTAATGGTATGTATTAGAGAACTGTGGAATTATGCTCTTAAATAGGATCAGTGTATCCTGAGAATTCTGCCATGTACTAGAATTTATTCATGAAGCTAAATATCATGCCATAGGCAACTACTTATCATGCCCTGGCTTGGGATTAGCCCTATGGAAGATGCTCGGGGAGGTGGAGCTGAATCATCCTGCCCTCAAGGACAAAACAAGCTACCCAACAAGACAGAGCAAAGCATGAGACAGGGAGAGGGCTGTCGCACCACTGCTAACACAGGGTGTGTCTAGGTGGGAGAAGGCATTAAGGACAGGTGAGACGGTTGTGTGGGGCCAGATGTCAGTGTGGCGGAAAGGCATTCTGGGTGAAGGGTATTGTAAGCAGTGTACTCTGGAGCTTTGGGGACACGAAGGTAAAGAAGAAAAATTGGGAATCATGAAGGAAAATAGAAATGTTAGACTGACTGCCAGGGTGGGGTCCTGATTGTTCAGAAGAAGGGAGGAAATGAGTGGTGGGCATAAGCAGAAGAGCCCCCTGCTTTGTGCTGTTCTTCCTTTGGTACTAGGCCTGGAGCACGTGCTTTTCAGAAGACCAGCATCTGAGGGTGTGATTGAAGGGACTCTACCCTCCACATGGTCAGCCCCAGAACTCTCAGAACAAAGCCAACTTGCCATCAGAGTGTTTTTGCTTATTTTTTGTTTGTGTGCTATTGTTTTCTTTTAATATCAACAAATTTTTTTTAGAGAATTTGTTGTACCTCTTAGTTATTTTCAGTGATGGATCTATTTAATCAGCTGACTGAACAATGTAGATGGAAAGAGAATCAATGTTTTGAGAGAAAAGAAGAGTGCCAGGTAGTTAGGAAAAGCAGGGAAACAGATGGAGGTTTTGTGTAAGTAGAGGCCCCAAAAGGTGGGGAAAAGTCTAGATTGCAGAAAGGAAGCTTTCAAAGGTATAAGAAAAACTTCCCAAAGTTTCCAAGGGCTGGAGTTCTGTCCCCAGTCTCTCTTTACCTTTCTTATTTAAGGAAAGAACTGGTGGGCTGGGGATGTGGCTCAAGCGGTAGCGCACTCGCCTGGCATGCGTGCGGCTCGGGTTCGATCCTCAGCACCACATGCAAACAGAGATGTTGTGTCCACCGAAAACTAAAAAATAAATATTAAAATTCTCTCTCTCTCTCTCTCAAAAAAAAAAAAAAAAAAGGAAAGAACTGGTAATGGGGAAAGCAGCCCAGTCACAGAGAATGGCTCAGGGTGCTTGCTGGGTACCTACAAGTATAAGTAGATATAGACCCTCTTGTCAGGGAACTTACCATGAATACAAAATTGAATAGAAATAATTAGGACAAGCCATACATGCCCAGTTTGATCAGAGAAGCCCAGAGAAAGTACCATGGGAACATGGAGAATATGGAGGAAAGGGGCTGTTCTAGGTGGAGGCTGAGACCAAGTAGAAGCTCTCTGTAGACAATATGTTTTGATGCAAACTTTTTAAAGGAGGGCCAGAATTTCATTAGGTAACAATGGCAGAGAAGATATTCCTAGAGAAGGACATAGCATGAAAACAGGCATAGGGGTAGAAAGTACATGGGCTGGGGCTGTGGCTCAGTGGTAGAGTGCCTGCCTCACACGTGTGAGGCACTGGGTTCAATCCTCAGCACCACATAAAAATAAATGAACAAATAAAGATATTGTGTCCATCTATAAAAAAAAATTAAGAAAGAATAGATTGTGTTTATGGAGCAGGTAATAGTCCTCTAACTGGAAGGGGTTTTATGGGAGACAATTTTGTTTGTTTTAACATCAAGGATAAAACCCAGGGGTGCTTAACTACTGAGCCATATCCCGCCCCCAGCCCTTTTTAATATTTTATTTAGAGACAGGGTTTGGCTGAGTTGCTTAGTGCCTTGATAAGTTGCTAAGGCTGGGTTTGAACTCGCAATCCTCCTGCTTCAACCTCTTGAGCTGCTGGGATTACAGGCATGCACCATCACACCCACCTAAAAAAATTTTTTAACCTGGCTATATTCAGAAATAGTCTTAGAAAGTCGTGCTTAGGGCCTAAAATAGGAATCAAGGAGGATGCAGATGGAGATCTCATTTCTTGAATGAGGACTGTATTTTCACTAGCTTGTGAATGGAAACTAATCCCCCTTCCTCCCTTTTGCAGTTACAGGATAGAGAATCCTACATTGCCATTCTAGTTGGAGCCAAGTATGGGATTAGCCAAATTATCAATAGTAAACTCAACATCATGTCCTCATTGGCAGAGTTTGCCAACATCAGCCGTGTAGAGCTGACAGAAGAGTCTGAGAAAGTGAGCATGGTCAGAGTGTATCTTCAGGACATTAAGGTAATACAGGGGAAGAGATTCTGAATTTAGCTTCTGGAATTTGGGGCTAAATTATTCTAGGATTATTTATATGAATTTTGAACAGTAACAAAATCAACATCTGCTTATAAGGATGGATTATCCATCCTATCCCATCTAATGGCAAGGGGTGAACAGGGCACATTAGCCTGAGAAGGTCCTAAAAGTATTTTTGTTTGCTTTACAATAAGAAACAGATTTGTTTCTTACAGTTCTAGCTGCTGGGAAGAGATTGCAGAGGGAGGGAGGGAGGGTGGAAGGAAGGGAGGAAGGAGAGTAGAAGAGTTTGTTTATTTTTATATAAACTGAGATGGATCATGTGCTTTTGTGATGGGAAGTTCTGAACCCAAAGTTTGTCGGTTTCTGAAAAGGTAGATGGGAACACCAGAGGATTTGATCACATGCATGGGACCAGAATGGCTGCCCAAGAGTTTTGAGTGGTAGAAACTAAAATGGATAATTAGTTCAAGGTACCTCCTGAGCCTCTCAGAAGTTCTGACACTTACCCTTCCCTCTTTTGATTTAACCTAATATGCTCAAGAATTGTGCTGTATTCTTCTCATTGCCCTCTCCCTCATTCTGCTACTTTTTCTTGCCTGTTTCTTTTTCTAGGTCAGGTCTCAAAGGGGCCCCATTGTATGAATGTGCTGGGTGGAGCCAGGGCTGGGGTGGAGGATAGAGAAAAGAGATATAGTATAGATTTGGTGGGAAACCCCACTGGGCAGGGGCAGTTATGTACACATACAGTCAGTTAGAGCCCGATTGATACAAATATGAGGCCTGTCAGTGAACCATGGCTGGGTTCACTTGGTATTTCTCTTTGGCCCCACATGGCCTTGTTTCCCTTGCCCTTTTCTAAGCAAGAGTTCTCTTTGCCTTCAAAGGTTCTAACATTGCTGCTAGAATCCAACAGTGCAAAAGATCTAGCCTGCCTGATTGCTGGGTACTACAGGCTGTTTGTCGACCCAGTTACCTCCATTTTCCTCTGGCCTGGAAATAAACAAGTGCACCGGGTGTCTGCTGAAGAAGGTGAGATGCTGAGTTTTTCCCCAGAAAGGACAGGCCCATTTCCCCAACCTTGTAGGTAAGGGCAGCCCAAAGGGAGGCGGTGGATTGAATGGAACCCAGACGTCCACTCAAGGTGATGAAGATATTTCTCCATTTATTTCCAAGTAAACAGTTTTCTGTGTACCTAAATTCTCCTAAGCCAAGGAATGCTAATGCTCTGATTCTCTGTAGTAGTTCCTGAAATCATCCCTAAGATCCACTGCATTTTATCATCATTTCTCAGCAAAAGGAAGTGTCATGTGTTCAGAAAGTAGATGGCCTGTTTCCCCTCCAGGCCTCTGCACTCTTTTGCATTCTCTTGAATGATAATAGAAATTCTCAGCCTTGAGTTTAGGAATGATAGCTGGAGACAAAAAAGACTAGGGGTGGTGTCCTGTAAGGAGTGAAGAATTGGAGGGCAGGTGGGAGGCAGGCTCTGGGCCAGCTTCCAGCCTCCAGCTTCCAGCAGGCTTTCGGGTCAGCACTGTTCTGTTCCTGCAGCACTTTCCAGTGGTGTGCTGATAAATGTTTAACAGTTGTCACTCAGGTGGCTGGCTGGGGAGATGCTGGAACACAGGCTGTGGTAGTTGTCCCGGCTGCCCTCATTCAGCCTGGGGTCCAACCTGCCCATACTCAATGTTGGCTTCAGGGGGAAAACAGCCTGACTTGAAACAGTTGCTTAATGTATATTAAACATGGTATAAACACTCCCACCATGCCAATTTCAAGTGCCCCACATGATATCAGGGAATGTGGAGGTGGGACGAGGTGCTCAGTAGAACACCTTATACAATGTTTCCTCCACGTGGGTAAAATAGGTGTAAATCACCTCAAGAGAATAGATAATAGTAAAATAAAGTAAAATGTAGTCATCCCATGTTATCTTTGGGGGATGGGTTCCAGAACCCCCTGGGATACCCAGATCCACAGATGTTCAAGCCCCTTCTATAAAATGGTTTAGAATTGATATATAAATTCTGGAGGGGGCAGTACCTGAAATAGATCTTGAAGAACATGTTGAAGTTACCAGGTAAAAAAGGAGGAACAATCATTTGAGCAGAGGGAGCGTGGAGGTGGGAACACCAGACAAGGCTGTGGTCTATCAGAAGCTCCGGGTGCAGCTGGAACGTGGTGAGGAAGTCTGCAGCAGGCCACCAGGCTGCTGAGGAGGGGTCAGTTCATACTGTGAGGGGGTGTGACAAGCAAGCCTGAGGATAGACCAAAGCCATAATGTGAGGCAAGCAACAGACTGTGGAAGAGGTGCCGGGGCAGACTGCGAAGGGTCAGACTATATGACCTACTGCCTCCAACCAGGCTCCACCTCCTGAAGTTCCTCTGCCTCCCAGTGGCACCACCAACTGGAGACCAAGCTTTGAACACTTGCGGGGGGACATTTAAAATCTATCCAAACCATGATAGGGTGTGGGTGAGGAAGATGTTGAGGAGGGTCAAAGCCATACTGTGAGAAGGGTGACTGAACTGTGGAAGAGGGCTATCCTGGAAGGCAGGTGACTTCACTGTGAGGGAGAGCAAGGAGGCTGCTGAGGAGTGCAGGGGGTCAGGTCCATCCTGTGACAGGGGCAGCAAGTCCATATGTGAGAATCTTTAACTCCTGTGGGAGAGCTTTAGCCCTTCCATGAGAGGGCAGAGTAAGACGTGACCAGAGAGAAGTTTTAGAAAAGATCACTGGGGGAAAGACCAGAGACCTGGCTCAGTGTCCCCGCCCCTATTCCCACCATGTAGTTACCTGCAGCTAGATGAATTTTCACTGTCCTGAAGGGCCCATAGCACCAATGGGTCCCCAAGTCCAGGCTTCAGGATAGTACCAGCCTAGCAGCCTCAGAATCCCCATGAAGTTGCTAAAAATAGATTCTCTGTAGAGTTTGACTAAGTGCATCAGGAGTAGGACTAAAGATGTTTTTTGTGCTTTAAATATGATTCCCCATATGGTTTTGATGCTCAAATAGGACAGAGGTAAGATTTGAGGAGCGGCTTGGCAAGCTGAGTACTGCTGCTCATGGCAAAGTAAAATCTAATTCAATAGTCAACGTGTTTCCACAGACAGAGCAGACAGGCCTCTTTAGAAGAGAGTATGGGTTAATCATCTCTCCTTGGGTGGCTCAGATGTGGGGCTCAGTTAGCCCAACAGTGTGGGGAAACCTGGGATTGGGGATCCTGTGTCAGTCAGTAAAGTGGGATTTAAGCCCCGTCTACTTCCAGACCTCTGTTTTCCCTTCTGACTGGATGAGGCAGGAGAACTCACAGCCATTTGCCAGTCCTGGAGGCTGTTTTGTAACCCTTGTCCCTTGTGTTGCAGGCTATGAGTCCAGGGCCTGCAGTGACTCGGAGGAGTCCTCTGAAGTAGACTGTGTGCTGGAGCCTCTCTCGGACAGATGCCTGGTGAAGCTGAGCCCCTGCAGAATGTCTGTCAAAGAGGACCAGCTTCCTGGGAACAGCCCCACTCCCGAGCTGGCCAGGAGGGGTGCGAGCACTTGCGGGGCTGGCAGCGCCACAGACAGTGCCGAGTCTGAAGCATCCGACTCAGCCAACACCGAGAGCCGAGGCTGCAGGACCAGTGGCTCCAGCGAGTCCATGGATGCCCTGGAAGAGGATGACTTAGATGCCTGCTCCTCCAGCAGGTCTGACTTCTTCCGCTTTGGCTCATCAGGCTTCTCGGAAGATCTTGATTCTGACAGCCTAGAGGACAGGAACAGGATTGAGACCAGTGGCTTCCTCTGTCTCCTGGACCTGGCCCAGAGTGCCAGTGCTCAGTGCCAGAAGATGGAGTGTTCCCAACGGCTAGCTTCTGAGAACTGCAGCTGGGGGCCAGAATTGAGTGTGGGCAGGTTGGACCCCAGGCTGTATGAGGGCAGCCGGGACAACTACTACAGCCTGTGTTCCAGCGTCTCCCCAGCCAGCCACCTGAGTGACAGTTCAGAGAGCACAACTTCCAGGCAGGGGGTTATCCTGCCAGCCTGGAGCCAGCAGGGCTGGACTGAGCCCCAGCCCAGCTCCACACTGGAAGCCCTGCCCCTGCGCCCACCGCTGGCCTTTGAGGATGGCAGCTCGGATGAGGAGTACTATGATGCAGCTGATAAGCTCACACCCCCAGATGTGCTCTCAGGTGAGCCCCCTGCAGGTCTGCAGGCTCAGCAGGCAGCTCCTAAGGGCTGGGGCCAAGCTGAGAAGACAACACAGGAGTAAAATGGGGCCCTTGTCCACTTTCAAGAAGGTAGACCTGGGTTCCCTGGACCAAATTACCAGCATCATGGCTTCCAGTCAGGACTGCAAGCAGAGATGGGAGGGACTCATTCCCCAGTGGGAAAGACTTCCAGGAAGAGGGGCTAGATGTGCTGGGTCCTGTGGATTGACAGAATTTACAAAAAAGAAAAGGGTTTGACAGAAATATCCAGCAGAGGAGGTAGCTGTGTCTTTGTTGACCCTAAGGCTACCTTAAATGAGGCCTTGAAGCAAGATGACTGTAATTGACAGGCTCTCAGAGGCACTCAAGGCCTTTTGGGGTCCAAGGGACCCTGACACCAGAAGGTAGGGGATCTGTTGACTACATTTCTGCCAGGTTCCTTGTACGTTTTTCTATAGAGAGTGTGCAGTATCCACATATAATGGCTTCCAACTAGACCTGAGAGCTGGACATACATGCATATGTATATTCATTCATTCATTCTCTCTCTCTCTCTCTCCCCCCCACACACACACACCATCACACACACCATCACACTCACAGCACACAGGCTAGGTGACCTCCTAGGAGCTGGGAGTGCTGCAGCTCTCTTCTTTCTACTCCAGTGCTCTCCTGCTGCTCCCTGATACACCACTTCCTGCTCCCCAGCAGTTTCCATTGCTCTTGGAAGACAGGCCAGATCCTGAGTGGACACTGTGAAGCCCTCTGTGACATGACCTCTGCCTCTCTTACTCCTGAGCTCTCTCTGTACTCGTGACACACAAATCTCTTTGCCATTTTTAAGAGGCACCAACCCCATTCCTACCTCCAGGCTTTGTACCTGCTACTGTCTGCCCTGACCTTCAGCTGCTGACGCCCATCCCTCCATCAGGTCTCACTGGAGGCCCACTCCCTCAAGAAATGGTTCCCAGATTTCCCAAACTAGAGCAGGTCTGTCCATCTTGGTCACATATTCTCTCACACTTGGGACTTTCCTTCCTGGCACTTAGCCCTGCCTGTAGAGGTATATTTATTTGTATGTTTCTGTGTTGTTCTCCCACAAGACTGAGAGCTCCTTGAGCCTAGCTACTGTGTGTTTTCACTTATCACTGTGTCTCTAGACAGAGCCTGAAAGTTGTTGCTAAATGATGAATGAACTGGCCACCCTCTAGTCTGAGTTCAGTTATTGACTCTGCCCCCAAAGAAAGGAATAGCTATGGCCAGACTGCTGTCCCTGAAGAGCCCAGACAACAGCCTTCCATGCCTCTACTTTGCTTCACTGGGCCAGCCATGAAGCTGGGGTTAGGGTAGGGGTGCTACAGAGACTGTCAGACAGGCCCTATCACAGGAGTCTAGCCAGGGACTTAAGTTCCATTGTGGATGCTCTTTTTTTTCACAGGGAGGGAGCCAGTGAGGTCCTGAACAGGATCCCAGAACTGTGATTCCTGCTCCTGAGTTCTGGTCTTGCCTTGACTTGCTGTGGGAGCCCTTCCTTCTCTGGGCCTCAGAAACTCCTTTGATCAGTGGCTACAGGTTAGCCTAGGCAGAACATATCTGGCCATCAGAATCACCCAAGGGGCCTTGTTTTAAAACTATGGATTCCTTCCTTGGTTCAACTTTAGAGATTCCTATTTAAAGGTCTAGGGAACTGCCTGGGATTTGATAAGATTTTTTTAACACTGTGCAACCAGGTTGGGAACAACTCATCTAAGTAGATGATTCCTCTGATTCTTAAGTGCAAATCTGTGATCCTGATTCCTTCTGGCTGATTCCCAAGACTTCTTCACAGCAGTGCTTTTTCCCTCGGAAAGATCCATCCCAGCTTCCTCAAAATCCCTCATGCCTGTGACTGAGGTTGGGGCCCTTGTTGTCAAAAGAAAGTTCTTTTAGACCTCTCACACATGAAATGACCATAATAACAAAAAGAGCAGCTTCCTTTTCATGAATACCTATTAGACACAGGCCTTACACTAGGCAAGTTACAAAAACACATGGCTTCATCTAACCTGCATGGCAGCATTGACTGATACTGATTCAGGTTAATGTGAGCACCAAGAAAAAAGTGTTAGAAGGAGGTAAGAGCTTGTGAATTTCCAGCAAGCCTGGGGAACTGGGCTCAGACAGGGACAACAACCAGCCCAGGAATCTGAGTAGCAGAATTCCTCATCTGTGCTATCAGAAGATGATGGCTGGAAAGCATAGGCTTTACTTGCATTACTAGTTTTTACTCAATGTATTCAAGTTTGAAATCCTGGAGAATTTGAGTTAACTGGGCTGTAAATCTGATCACTTGACTTGTGTGGGAGTAACTTCATTAATAATTCTAGGGGCGTAGGGCATAAATCAGTGGTACAGCACTTTCCTGGCATGCATGAAATCCTGGGTTTGATCTCTATCACTGCAAAAAAATAAAATAATGATGATAATAATTCTTTTTTTAAAATATAATTTTTAATTGTAGATGGACACAATACTTTTGTTTTATTTATTCATTTTTATGTGGTGCTTGAAGATCAAACCCAGTGCCTCCCATGGCAAGCAATCTACCAGAGCTACAAACAACCCCAGCCCTAATAATAGTAATTCTTCCAGATGACTGTAACTATTGGGAAGATGTCATCCCCTGAAAGGATATTCCCTGGGGGAAAGTGATTTGACCAAAAGACAATAAAACAGATCTTAGACAACCAAAAATCAAAGAATGTCTTTCACAATTATTGTTCCCATCTTTTGATGAGGAAATTGAGAAGATCAATATTTAACCTGCCTAGGATACACAGCCCAGTCAGGATTTGAATCCAGGCAGGCCCATGTCCTGAGCTCAAGTTCTATAAACCTTTCTTTTTCTCCTCTTTATGTATTTTTTTCTTTCTTGACTCCCAGGACCCAGAGCGATTTCTGCCATAGAACCCAGTGCCACAGGCTTGCAGAGTAAGGCCAACACTTGCACTTGTGATGATGGCCTACACCCCAGGCCAGAAGGAATACAGCCAAGTAGAAAGGGAGGAGCGAAGAAGTATGCCAGGACCCTGAGGAAAAGAAGGTCCTTTCTGCAGACTGACTACACGTCTCAGGTCTCCTTCCCCCTGGTGCCATCGGCCTCCCTGGAGAGTGTGGATGACGTGTGCTACTATGATAGGGAGCCCTACCTGACTGTCAGTGCACCTTCCCCAACTGTGTCCTCCCTGCAGGACGTGCAAGGTGAACCAGGCCTCCTGGAGACCAAGGCCCTGGGGCTGCTGGCTCCCCTGAGGGAGACCAAGAGCAAAAACCCAGCCTCCAGGGTCATGGAAATGGAGCCCGAGACCATGGAAACCAAGTCGGTCATTGACTCTCGAGTGTGTTCTATTTCTGCCATTCGGTTCAGGATTGACCCCAACAATAAAGAGAATTCTGAGGTTGCCTCTTTGGCTGCCACTGTTGACAGTTCCTCAGAAAGCACTCCTCGTGGTTCCAACCCAGGTTCCTCTGGCCCAGAGACTGCTCAGTCTAGGCCTTTCCAAATTTTGTCTCCATTTCAAGACTCCGATGGCAGTGCCCCCAAAGAACTCATCCTAGAGCTTGGGAACAGTTCCTTCCCCCTCTCCAGTGCAGACCCCAACCCAGACAGCCCAAGGCCACATAATGTCTCTCAAAGAGACTCACTGGAGCTGGGAGGCATCCCATTGGCAATGAGATTGGGATCTTTTTTAACAAATCATATTCAAGAAACTACCACCCAATACACAGAGCTTTTGTTGTCTCCTGGAGATGGACCTAGAAATGATGAATGTGGAATGAATTCAAGAGAGATGGCCACATTCCCTACAAAAGAGGAGCAACTATTTTTGGAAAGTGACAGTGAAGTTACAAACAAATATGATACCAACTTATTTCAGAAGGAATCTGGGGAGAATGCAGGTGGCCTGAAAGGTGATATGTCAAATGTTGTTTCTCAGGCTCTTGACGTTAGTACTGCAGATGGTGAAACAGTTACCTCCCTCTCCTTGGAAGCTTCTGGGACAGGCACTGAGCAGACCCCACTACATACTCCCAAAGACCCCCAAGGACAATGCAGAGAAGCCCAAAGCCAAGCCTTGCGGGCCCAAGAACAAAAACACTTGGCAGAGTTGGATTTAGACCCTGATTTTTTACTTGGGAAGCAGACTGTTCTATCAGCCTTCCCTCCAGAGGGGGTCAAGGCAGAGTCACTTAACCATGTCATAGAGGAAAGTACAGCCCTTAGAGACACTCCTCAGCAGGTCTGTTTTAATCCTTCCCTAACAAAGCCACAACCCTGCCAAGAGGAGTCCCACTATGAAGCATCAAACCATTTTTCACTATCAGAAAGCAAAGACAGCAGTTCTAGTATTTGCCTTCCTACTGAGAAGTCTTTCCTCTGCTTTGCCCCAGAAAGGCATCCTGCAGTTTCTGTCGGTCTTGGGAAGGCCACATCTCTGGGTTTCGCAGGCATGAATGAGGAGGTAGTAGCCCCCAGGATTGGGATGGAACAGTGTAGCTGCCAGTTCTCCTATGCCACATGCTTTCGTGGCCCACAGCCTGACACAGAGGAAGAAGACAGGGGCCCTGAGGCACACCCCATGGCCCCGCTCACCTCACCACCCTCTGCAGGAAGCAGGATGGCTCTGCCTTGGAGGCCTGCCCGGTCTCACAGCTGCAGCACAGCACTGCTGTCAAGGGAAAGCCACATCTGGCCTGAGTACTGTTCCAGGGCACTGAGACAGCTGAAAGCTGCCCCTACTAGTACCCCTGAGGGCTTCATCCAACTCATGGAAAACTTGCTGGAACTACAAGACATCCTAGAAGCTTCCTGGGGAGTTGGAAACAAACACCCCCCAGAAAAGTGCACCTGGCACTTTTCAGAAAGCCGGAGCCGCCTCTGCATGGGCTCTCAGAAGCTCCTTTCGAGCTGTCAGCATGTGATCAGAATGGACCAGTCCCCTGAAGAGATGCAGGGTGCTGTGTGTGACACCTTCCAGCACCTGGTCCAGCTGGCTGGCTTGTGCTTCCAGTTCACAGACTGCAGCCGTTGCTCTGCCCGGCACAGGGAAGCAGCTGGGAACCTGAGGGATGTGGTGTTCACCTACCAACAGTTCGTGGAGGCTGCAAAATTGACCTGTGAGAGAGGCTATCATGACCTGAGTGTGAAACTCTTGGCCCGTCAGTGCACAGCCCTCACGGCTGCTGTGTTCTGTTTGACCCAGAAGTTCAGGGCATCCACTGCCCTATGAGCAGGTCAACTGCCCAGGGGCTCCTTCCCTTCCATGGACACTTCCCCAAGGACCCCCTTCCAGTCCCCCTGCCCCCATTCAAATGTTTACTATACAGAGTATTCAAATAAACTGCTGCTTAATCTTGACCTGAATCATACTGAGTGATAACAAGTGTGGGTCAAAAGCACTCACTTATATTCATTCAACAAACATTCACAGGATACTTATTTTGTGCCAGGCCTTGTATTAGTAGCTTGAGAATTATGAATAGGCAGGAATGAGGGAGAAAGATGGAGGCGACTATAAAACATAGTCATACATTCTCATGTCACACTGGTTTTGACAACAAACTTCGCATATGGGGTGATATTGGATGGATTACCTTCCCAGGTTTTCAACCCACCCAAGGAGGCCTGGTGTTCTTGGCTGTCTCACTGTAGCAACATAGGTTGCCACTAGGTGACAGTAAGTTCCTTAGTTGTACAGCCAACCACAGGCAGGTGTATTCTGTATTTGATCTGAAATTGCATCCCTGAATCTTGAATCTATTTCATATATATATTTATATATATATAATATTTATATATATATATACAAATATATATATATATTAGTTAGACATAATATCTTTATTTGTTTATTTTTATGTGGTGCTGAGGATTGAATCCAGGACCTCGCACATGCTAGGCGAGAGCTCTATCGCTGAGCCACAACCCCAGCCCCCCCCCCCATTTCCATTTTTAAATATATAAAAGGCAAATTCTAAAGCTCCAGTTAGATGTGCTTTTTAAATAATAATATTAGGTCAAAAGAAATACATTCAGTACCTTTCTAACTAATCCCAGCTGAACCAGTTAATCCTAGTAAACGGCAGTGGACCTTGGACAAGCTATTTAACCTCTCAGTGTTTTGATTTTACGCTTTATAATTGGAGATGCTGACACTTTCCATATTATGGGACATTGATCTAGGAAATAGATTCTCAATCAATGTTAGTAATAACTTTCAACATTTATGAATGGCTCTTCTAGTCTGAAACCATTCCCTACATTTTGTTCTTAGACTTCTGGGAGACATTTAAGACTCCTTTGAGAAATGTTTTGCCCTGGTTCTCTCTCCAGGTTCAGTGGCTCACCTTGGGCTAATAGAGGTGACTAAAGGGGTGCCATTGTCCTTCTGGTACTCCTGACCAATTGTGAGCTCAGAGCTTCCCCTCTGTCGGCTCCCTGGTTCCTCCCCTTCACCTAGCAAAAGCAAGATCAGGAATGAGTATGTTAGATCATGTTCCTCAGCTTTCTGCAGTCAGCAGAAAAGCAATACTTGGAAGAAGAGAGAAAGATATCTCTCTCCTGAACCGTTATCAGTTACTTGTTAACGAGTAACTACCTGTTCAGTACTTGCACCAAGAAAAGATTTATTTTCTTAGAGGGCTATTTCTTTCCACATAATATTTTGAATACAATTTAGATGAAGCTCTTGAACACAAATTTGAAGTAATTTAATGGTAAGGAAAATAGGAACAATAGGGCATTAATTTTTTTAGACATAAGATGTTAAAAAGGATTTGAAACTTTCTCCATTAGAAGGATATAAAGAGTCAACTAACTTATTTATGTGAACAGAGCCTATGTGTTCATGAGTTTAGGGAAGGTGCTTAGAACTTCTCTCAACGAGGGCTTGGATCCTGGCTGTGGCCTGTGGTGTTATAGGCACTTCTCTGGGCCTCGGTTTCCCCATCTGACAAAAGGAAATAATACTAGTCTCCACTTAGTTAGTAGAACAGATGCCTTATTTAGATAGCTTGAATACCTTTTTTATTAAATTATTTATTCTAATTTGTTACACATGATGGCAGAATGCAATTCATGTCATATTACACATATAGAGCACAATTTTTCAAGTCACTGAGTGTATACAACATGTTTTCACACCGTTCTTGTCTTCATACATATACTTAGGGTTATAATATCTAACTCATTTCGTTTAGATAGCCTGAAAACATTTTTTAACATGACCAATATCCCAGGGATTGTTATATACTATATATTCAGCATTTTTGTGAGAATAGTCATGGAGGCCAAGGAGGATTGAAGCCTCCAGCTGAGGCACTCAGGAAGTATGTGCTTTCTTCTTTCTTTTCCTCCTATCCTTTCAAATCCTTCACCTTTCTTGGGTAGTAATTGTATGGAGATGGTCTTTTTCTGGACAGTTCCCATGAGAAGAACTAAGTCCCAGAAGTGGTGGGAACTCTTCGCTGCTTGTTGAGAAGGTAATGCAGGAGAAGTCTCAAAGAAAGTCGGCCCTTTCTTTGAGACATATGAGATAGGCAGGATGAAGCTACCTACCCTACAGTGCAAGAGTCATTTGTTTAATGACTAAGAAATTGCTGGACATGTATACCCCTCCTTTCTTTTCCCAACCACCATCGTATCAACTGATTTTTGTCTCACAACAAACACTTATGGAACACCCATGCCAGGTGATGCCTGACGCCAGACTATGGATGTAAGTAATTGGGTGAGAATCCTATTTTCAAGAGCTCCTGTTGGAGGTTACATGGCATATAGAGAAAGAGACTGAAAACATAAGGCACAATGTACTCAAGGTTACCAAAGAGAGGAGGTAAGATGCTGTGAGAAGTCATTTTGGGGGTGAGAAGCAGAGCAGCAATCAGAGAAGACTTCCTGTAGGAGGTGGCATTCATTAGAACTAATATGTCAGGAAGTATTTATTGAGTATCTACTATGTATCAGGCCCCAGATTTGGTAGTTAGGATTTGGATCTATCAAGAAAGGACAAAAGTAATTTATTCTGTCAACAAATATTTACTATGCAGTGGCATTAAGAATACAAATGTGAGCATGTCAGACATGTTCAAAGAACTTATAGTTAGAAGGAATAAGAGGAAAAAAAATAAATTACTGGGCTGGGGTTGTGGCTCAGAGGGAGAGCACTCACCTAGTGTGTGTGAGGCACTGGGTTCCATCCTCAGCCCCACATAAAAATAAAATAAAGATATTGTGTCCACCTATAACTTAAAAAATAAATATTAAAAAAATAAATTACTGACTGAAAAGTGATTTTTAAAAACAAAGAAGGTGTCAAGACAGGGATAGGAAGAGCTTGTCTTACCTAGTGTAGATGGGAAAGGCCCTTCTGAACTGGAAATATTTGAGCTGAGACCTAAATAAAAGCCAGCCATGGAAAATGTGAGAGGAAAGGGAACAGTATGTGCAAAGGCCCTTGGTGTTTTTCAGGCGTTTCAAGACCACTGAGTGGAACTGGAGGGAGGAAGACAGAGAGGATATTAGAGTGGGGGGGCAGGCAGGAACCTATTAGTTCAAGGCCTTAGGAAGATGGTTGGATTTTACATGTAAGTACATTGGGAAGCCACTGGGGGATCTGGAGCAGGGGATGCATAATCATCCAGCAAACAGATGTGGTGGGGATGGGAAAGCAGTGACACCAGCCAGAATGTCTTTGTTTTCCATGGGAGAGTAGCCATGAGAGCTCATTCAGTGATGAAGGGACACAAGAGCTTGGTGGTGGTGATGATGGGTCTATTCAATATGGCTGAGTCTGAGGTATAATGACAGGCAGGTGTGGTGTGAGCTCAATCATGAAAGGATCATTGAAAGTCATTTGAACCACTTTTCAGGCCTCACTGAGGCACTGCAAGCAGGCAGTAGGAAGCCAGGGCCAGCTTCTGAGCAAATAGCTGATAGCGCTGGGTTTTAGAAAAAGACTTAATGGGGGTGGGGGTTGGGGAGCAATGTTTTGTGTTCGTGGTTAAAAAGTGGATTGAAGCATGGGTTGCAGGGAACTGTGCAAATGAAATCCAGAGGAGAAAATGGGCCAAGGAGGGCTCCAGCCAGGCCTTAGTTTCTTGAGGAAATATTTCTGGCCTGCTTATGGTAGGGTCTCTCTGAAAGGGCATTCCCCCAGGACTGCAGGAGTGAAGGAAAGAGTAGCTAGTAGTCTTTATCAAGACAAGGCTTGGGCAAGTTACTTCATGTCTCTGGAGTCTCAGTGTCCCCATGGATGTATGAAGGGAAATGGAGGAGGGAGAGTGACCAGAGGGTTTGTGCTCAGAGAAGGGCGGTGTCAGCTTGTGGACCCTGTTGGCTATGGGGAGTTGGGGAGCGCTAGGCTGAGAGATGGTGGTGATTCGAGACATGGTTTCACCTGTTTTGCAATGATCAGCCCTTGACAGCCAACAAGGCTCCTGGTCACCTACAGGAGCCCTGCACCTTTGGCAAGTGTCTGGGATCGTAATCTTCGACTAACAGATGAGGAAATCTAGGCTCTGAAGAGCATTGCGGGGCTTGGGTTGTAGCTCAGTGTTGGACAGCCTGCCTAAAACGTGTGAGACACTGGGTTAGATCCTCAGCACCACATAAAAATGAAGAAAATAAAGGTATTGTGTCCATCTACCACTTTAAAAAATTTTAAAAAGGGCTGGGATTGTGGCCCAGAGGTAGAGCGCTTGCCTAGCATGCGTGAATTACTGGGTTCGATCCTCAGCATCACACAAAAATAAAATAAATGTATTGTGTACCAACAACTAAAAAATAAATGTTAAAAAATTTAAAAAAAAATAGATCATTGCGCATCTTGCTGCCAAGTTGAAAACTACAATTCCCAGGATGCTGCTCGGAGCGGGATCCGGAACCGGAAGTGGGCTCGGGGCGGGGCCAGATGGGCGCCGCTGCTGCTGCGCGAGGCGTTGGTCCCAGGTATGTTCGGGGCTCGTTTCCGGTGGGATAGGCGTTAAGAGGCTCAGCATGCGAGCACCTGCATGCTCTTGGCCGGTGGCGGCATCGAGGTCGAGTGACCGCGGTACGCTGCCTTCTTAGTGCTTCCCCTTCTTGCCACCCCTCGCGCTCGCGCTCGTGGCCTGCGGGGCAGGAGGGACCCTTGTGCTCCCGGGTCTGGAGTCTGGGTGTTCTAGTCGTGGTGGGGTGCTTACCTACCATGCGCGAGGCTCTAGATTCCACTCCCAGCTCCGCAAAAAGAAAGAAAGAAAAACAATAACAACAACAACAGAAAAAAAAAAAAAAACAACCAACAAAACTAATAAAAGATGTAAAATGTGAGGGGGATTTGCTTAAGTGATTTGAAGTATCATTCGAAGCCGGTAAGTTCAAAGCAG